CGAGCGATACAAGCTGAACGTTTACAGTGGAGGAGGATTTTTCAAATCACACGTCGATAGCCCTTCTGATGACGAGATGATAGGCACGCTTGTCCTTTGCCTTCCTTCGCCCCACAAGGGAGGGGAACTGTACGTTAGCCACGATGGTTTAGAGCACGTATTTGACTTCTCGAATCATTCTGGGGACAAAAGCAAGATTCAGTGGGCGGCATTTTACAGTGACTGTATTCACGAAGTCAAACCAGTTCTCGAAGGTCATAGAGTCACAATAACCTACAACATCACTTTACCAAGCTCTGTGTATCATAAACAACGTCATTCCCAGCATCTTAGGTCAAAAGATGATCCTGATTCTTTAGATGAACATTTTGAAGTGAGCGCAGAAAATCCCTCCATAACCACCAAGGCCCTTGCCAACGTTAACAGCGAGCTGGAAAAGATTCGTCAACAGGGAAGAATTTCAGCAGCTCGGATTGGGATTCTTTTAAAGCACAAATACATCTCAAAAGGGCTTCAACCACCTTTACTCAAGGGTGAAGATAAGGTGTTGTTCGATTTCCTGATGGAGAAGCAGTGGAAATGCCAGCTTATGAGCGTGGTTTCAAGATATCAGACTAGAGCAATCCATCCTTACGGTCTAATGGAGGATGGAGAGCTCGACGAAAGTCACGAAATCTACGAGTTCAATCCCTTGCCTCCAAGTAACCCTCGAAATCTGAGTTGGACGCCGCGGAGCACGCGCCAAGAATTTCGTCAGTGGCGTGTCGGTATTCCCTTCGTCGACATTTACAGAAGAGCAGAGAATGGTGCCGAGCAACTGGTGCGCAATAACGAAGGACAAGGAAGTTGGATCGGCAACGAAGTTGAAGATGTTGGTGTGGATAAGATTTATTTGGATTCAGCAGTAATAGTGCACCTCCGCTAAAAAGCCATATTAGAACCCTGGGGATACCGATATCTGCCGCTTTTAAGTTATAAGCTTCCCCCCACCCACCCCACTAATAAGCAGCCCCCAGTTATAGGCTCATTCCCCTGAAGACAAAAAAATACATCCCAAGCCATTCTGGTTGCAAGACCCCTCGGATAAAAGCTTTTCCTGTTATAAGCACTCCTAAAACCCCCCGAAAAAGGGCTTCAGTATAAGCAGCAGTTTACGGTATGTCCAAAGAATCAGTTTTTCCAAGTTAAAACACAAGGCCTAAAATAGAACATGAACAAAGCAGAACAATTATGTACACCTATTTAGAATCGCATAAGTTAATATAACTTGCATTCTTATTGGTTAACGAGGCGAGATACGTATATAGTTATTTAGTATGGAACTGGATCTTGTAACCGCTTCAAAGTGATATTGATTCTTCGTCATCAGATAAGAGATCTTGTTTGTTTACTCTACATCTAAAAGGAGAGTTACATGAAGTTTGAATTCTTTTTTTTTCCCGAGAGATAAATAAACAAAGCATTTGCACAGTGCATAGCTTAATAGAAGCAAGTCTATTTTATTCAAATAGTCTGGTTTTAGCAAGTGAAGAAGTCTGGGACTGTACCGAACACTAGAAAGGGAACAATTGGCATTAAGAGAATTAGACTGCGTAGCAGGCGCTTGGAAAGGGTGGGCGAAAGGCAGAACGGGCGCGCGAGGGAGACACGCGGGGGTGAGAGAGAAGGCAACAAAATTGATCAAAATAAACAGAGCACCTAGAGTATTTTTGTAATTGTTCCATAAAGAAAAGACGTTTGTCAAGGTACATTTTTAAGGAAAAGGCTTTATTTCCGGTGGACATGCGCGCGTACGCGTCACTCAAAACTTATTAAAAACGCCTTTACTCAAGTTCCCTATTTCTCAATATTCACTTTCTTCTCAGTGTGTTTAAGTCTACTCTCCTACTCATTTACTCCTGCTTCGGTTCGAAAACCTGTTCACACTGGGACGAAGGGTAGCAGAAAGCTATCCGATAAGGGACATGATCTACGATCAACATCGGCGCGGCGCAGCTTAGCTCCGTTACAGAAATCACGCCGAAATCACCGTCTTTCGTGTGAACAGAAGCCCTGTCCGGTATGGATTTCGTGTCAGCTGAAGAGCTATCCAGTAATGTATAGTGTAGACATAGTCTTAAGTCAAAAGAGGATAGAGCTTAGCCTTTATCTTCTGTTGCATTAGCTCGATTACATACAAATCTATTCCTCTTGAGTAGTTAGTTACATCACGGGTTTATGAGATCGTGTCCAGCCCTTTCTCGTTCACTTTTCAAAATATACGTGAAGATTGTCGGATCTTCCTCACTCCCCTCCCTACTAACTAAAGTAGCGAATAGACTTTTCGGGCCCGGAAAGTGTTCTGTCTCATCCGACATCCTTGGGAATATTTTTTTACGACCAACTTACATCTCAATCAAGAACTTTGCCGAATTGTCCCCTTTTTTTTCATAAATTAAGAAACTTATTAAACTGGGTATATATAGAGTGCCAACGAACAAATCATGCGTATTTTGCAAAGGAATGGGATTACTTTTTTCCAACATTTCACAGTTTCTTGGTCCCTTCCTCCTTAAAGGATTATTTTCTTAACTCTCAATAAAAAGGTGTTATTTATGTATCAAGGTTCCGGAGAGAAGAGTCAGTCCTTAGACTCCTGTGGCTTTACGAACCAGCTATATAAAAGTTTGAAGTGTCATTAGGGATATTTTTTTGAAAGAATAAAATCAGCTTTGGAGAGGAAGCGATCGGCAATATTTAGCGGGAAATAAGAACGATCGATTTTCATACCAGTCCAGCTAGAAAATTACCGTCGGTTCGGTTTCACTTTGTAGATAAATATTTGTGCAGTTTAATCATTTAAACCTCCTTTCAAATTTCCGCAGGCTTTTTGTAACCCGACTGAAATTGATCATTGAAACTTGAATGATTCGCTGCGCAGTTTGAAATGTTTCCTAGGACATGGTGATGTACGGCACGTCGGTATTTTATTTTCATTTGATAACTCGGCCAGGTTTCAAAAAAAAGATAGCGTTGTTTTCTTTTCCTCTGTCGTTCGCTTTAGGCTTGTAATTTTTTTTTTTTACTTATTTTTTCGTTTGCTGGTTAGCCTTTTTCGCCAACATCAGATTTTCCATCAGAAGCGACTATATTCTTCTTATCAAGCTTTCCTTATCTCCTCTTGTAATCTGATCCTTTTTAGTG